TTGCTCTCCATTTGCTTGGTAAATCTTCCTCCATCCCTTTATTTTAAGCCAATATGTATCCTTGCACGTGAGATGGGTTTCCTGGATACAGCACACCAATGGGTTTTGACTTTTTATCCAACTTGTCATTCTGTGTCTTTTGATTAGGGCATTTAGCCCATTTACGTTTAAGGTTAATATGGTTATGTGTGAATTTGATCCTGCCGTTTTGATTCTAGCTGGTTGTTTTGCCCATTAGTTGATGCAGTTTCTTCATTGTGTCCATGGTCTTTATCATTTGGTATGTTTTTGGAGTGGCTGGTACTGGTTGTTACTTTCTGTGTTTATTGCTTCTTTCAGGGGCTCTTGTAACGCAGACCTGGTGGTGATGAAATCTCTGAACAATTGCTTGTTTGTAAAGGATTTTATTTCTCTTTTATTTATGAAACTTAGTTTGGCTGGATATGAAATTCCAGGTTGAAAGTTCTTTTCTTTAAAGATGTTTAATATTGGCCCCCACTCTCCTCTGGCTTGTAGGGTTTCTGCTGAGAGATCTGCTGTGAGTCTGATGGGCTTCCATTTGTGGGTAACCTGACCTTTCTCTCTGGCTGCTCTTAGCATTTTCTCCTTCATTTCAACCCTGGTGAATCTGATGATTATGCGCCTTGGAGTTGCTCTTCTTGAGGAATATCTTTGTGGTGTTCTCTTTATTTCTGGGACTTGAATATTGGCCTGCCTTGCTAGGTTGGGGAAATTCTCCTGGATAATATCCTGAAGAGAGTTTGCCAGCTTGGAATCATTGTCTCTGTCACATTCAGGTACACCTATCAAACGTAGATTAGGTCTTTTCACATAATTCCATATTTCTTGGAGGGTTCGCTCATTTCTTTTTACTCTTTTTTCACTATTCTTGCTTTCTCATTTTATTTCATTGAGTTGATCTTCAATCTCTGATATCCTTTCTTCTGCTTGGTTGATTTGGCTATTGAAACTTATATATGCTTCACAAAGTTCTCATGTTGTGTTTTTCAGCTTCATGAATTCATTTATATTCTTCTCTTAGCTGTTTATTCTCATTAGCATTTCGTCAAACCTTTTTTCAAGTTTCTTTGTTTCTTTGCATTGGGGTGGAACATGTTCTTTTAGCTCAGAGAAGTTTGTTATTATTCACTTTCTGAAGTCTGTTTCTGTCAATTCATCCAACTCATTCTCCATCCAGCTGTGTTCCTTTGCTGGTGAGGAGTTGTGGTCCCTTGGAGGAGGAGAGGTGTTCCAGTTTTGGGTGTTTTCATCCTTTTTGCTCTGGTGTCTTCCCATCTTTGTGGATTTATCTGCCTGTGGTCTTTGTAGTTGGTGACTTTTGGATGGGGTCTCTGTGTGGATGTCCTTTTCGTTGATGATGAAGTTATTTCTTTCTGTTTTTCAGTTTTCTTTCTAACAGTCAGGCTCCTCTGCTGTAGGACTGCTGGAGGTCAACTCTAAACCCTGCTTGTCTGGGGATCACCTGCGGTGGCTGCAGAACAGTAAGGGTTGCTGCCAGTTTCTTCTTCTCTTATCTTTGTTCCAGAAGGAAACCCGCCAGATGTCAGTCTGAGCTCTCCTTTATGAGGTGTCTCTTTGGACATACAGGGGTCAGGGAGATGCTTGAGGAGACAGTCTGTCCCTTATAGGATCCCAAGTGCTGAGCCGTGAGCTCCATTGTTCCATCCAGAGCTG